CTGGTTTTTGCTTCGGGGTTTTAATGAAGGTGTAGGTTACGTAAGTAAAATGCAAAGACCCTAAGTGTACGTCTCAGTGAAGTTTTACATAGGTGCGCTCCTATTTTACATAGGTGCTTTACATAGTCACCACCCAGATCAAGATAGAAGGACGTCTCTATCTTGATTTCCTGAACTTCCATCCTTGTCGCCTCTCTTCAGGGTGCGTGACCCATTCTTTTTTCCCTTGCTTTCTTTTTCGTCTGTCCTGGGTCTCCATCTCTGCCCTGAATACCACTCTCATACTCCTAGACAGAGGAGAGGGAAAGGGTGGGAAGGGAGGTAGAGTGACCACCAGCCTGTCGATGCTCCACTGCCTGTTGCTACCAGGGAAGGATTTGGGGGTTATGGAGTGGTCTACCTCGTTAAATCACCTAACTTGCCTGAAAGTTCTCCCAAGTAGCCACAACTTCTCCAGGTAGTGAGCATGCTGGGGAAGCTGGCTGCACCTGCCTGATTGTTTTCATCCTAGCTGTGTTACTTACCTTCTGGCAGGGTGTATTCAGTATTGCCAGTGGTATTTTATTTGTCTTAAGATTTTTTAAGAGGGTTGCTACCTGCTTGTTTGAATGTTCTGGCTTGGGGCAAAAAGCCTGTGACAGATTACATCGCTGCTCTGCCTTTAGCTTGCCAAACTCTGCGATGCGTGTTTTGCTCCTGTTCTCAGGAAAACACTTCCAACTGCTTGAAACTTAGAGCTGCTTCTCTGCAGCTTCCTTAGGTCAGTCTTGAGGTGCAAACAGCCAAAAAACCATAGCTATGTTATCTCAACTGTGTGGCCAAACCACAGCTCTGGCAAGGATGCGATTAGGTTTACTCTTGGTTTCTGCACCTGATGGTGGCTACCTTTACTTTGGCACCTTTAACTGCCAAGTCTTCAAAGACCTGTTGACCGTGAGCCAAGATCTGGAATGTAATGGATATGTTGGTAACAGTGTTTACTTGAGCAGTTTATAATTTGGTCGGGTAGACTAAACGTGTGCAAGAAAGTGATAGAATACAAACTTCTTGGCTGGGTTCGATGGCTCATAGCTGTGATCCTAGCACTCTGGGAGGCTGAGGTGGGAGAATCACTCGAGGTCAGGAGTTCGAGACCAGCCTGAGCAAGAGGGAGACCCTGTCTCTACTAAAAGTAGAAAGAAATTAGCCAGACAATGAAAAATATATAGAGAAAAAATTAGCTGGGTGTGGTGGCACATGCCTGTAGTCCTAGCTACTTGGGAGGCTGAGGCAGGAGGATTGCTTGAGCCCAGGAGTTTGAGGTTGCTGTGAGCTAGGCTGATGCCATGGCACTCTAGCCCAGGCAACAGAGTGAGACTGTCTCAAAAAAAATAAATAAATAAAACACAGTTGGGGCCCAGCTCGGGGACTCATGCCTATAATCCTAGCACTTTACAAGGCCAAGTTGGGAGGATCACTTGAAGCCAGGAATTTGAGACCAGCCTGAGCAACATAGCAAGATCCCATCTATACAGAAAAATAGAAAAATTAGCTGGATGCGGTGGGTGCACCTGCGGTCCCAGTTACTCAGGAGGCTGAGGCAGGAGGATTGCTTGAGCCTAGGAGTTTGAGGTTTCAGTGAGCTATAATTGTGCCACTGTACTCTACCCAGGCAACAGAGTAAGACCCTGTCTAAAAAAAATAAATAAATACAGTTGGATTATTTTTCCTAAAGACCTGCCTTATATAAATATGTATTATCTACCTTTTTGTGTGTGTGTGGCATGACAGTAGCTGCATAGGTTATCTACCATTTTAAAAACCCTCTTCTCCAGTCTTCCATAATGTGGAATCTTTAATAATGTGGTCATCCACATGATAGATGTTTAGATTTTATCCACAGAAGTACCCATTAGTGTCTTACCTGTGCTACATGTGCCAGCATTCCACAGGCATTTCATTTAGTCCTTAAAATACTCCCTGTAAAGTAGGTCTTATGTCTCCATTTTTTCAGATAGGAAGATGTCAATCTTTTTCAATCTTTATTTTTTTTTTTGAGAGAGAGGGTCTTGCTACGTTTCCTGGGCTTAAGCAGTCCTCCCGAGTAGCTGGGACTGTAGGTGTATGCCACTGTGCCCATGTCCTGAAAACTGAGGTTCAATTAGATTAATGGGTTGACCAAATTCATACAGTTCTTAAGTGGCAAAGTTAGGATTCCAACCCAGGTCAACCTAACTAAAGCCCAGACTCTATCTCATCCCTCTGGAACATCAGATACCATCTCTGCTAGAAACCACAGGCCTTGTCAAATTAGATCTTTTCAACTATTTCGTGAGCCTGCCTCTACATTCTCCTCTCTTCCAAGTTGACCTGTGAAGAAGGGAGAGCCGCTATTTTGTGGGCCTCTGGAATCATGCAAAGTTACCTAAACAATCTGCCAGTTTTCTAGCTCACTCAATTTTGACATTTCTACAGTTTCACCCCTGGTTTCCTTGGAAATTCAGCTGGCTTTTCTTCATTTCTTTCTTTGGAGGTTTCTTTCCTTTTGTTGGTTAGTCATTTAGACATTTTGTTCTGTCACCTAGAATTTTTGTGTCTTGAACAAATTTGGAGATCTCAATGTATTTTTTTTGTTTAACAGTCTTATGCCTTTCTATATTCATAGTTTCTAATTTGGTTTGGTTTGAAATTGTTCTTTTCCCTTTTAAAGATTTAGTGTCCATAGCTACTTGATGCCATTTTGGTTCGGGGGACCGTGGGTAGGTTCTCCTCATGGAGATCCACCACTCCCGATGAGTCACATGCTGCTTGTACCATTGTCTTACTCCTTTATAAGGAGTCTTGGGGACCCTGGGCATCACTGCGTCCTGTGGTCATGGACCAGAAGAATTTTAGGGAACACCATCCAGGGTGGTCTAGCTTTAAGTATCCTACTTAACCTAATGTGGCTTACAGGCTCTCCCTATATGCCTGGCCTGTCTCTTGAAAGGCAAGAGGAGACTCTGGCATGATCTGGATAGAGTATGTTATATCTAAAGGTCTGGTCACCAGATGTGAGTTGTAGAAACTGCTTCTCTCATCCCTAAACAATTCCACAGTTGTAGAAGCTGACATTAACCTGCAATGTCCCTGATAGCCTCCTCAATGGGGATCTCCACCTCAACTCTTCCAGTTCCTTCCTCTACCTATCTCCCCCCCCCTTAACACATTAACTGCCTTATGAGTTGTATTTAACTCATGTTAGTTTTGACCCCACAGCCTCGTAGTAAAGCATATGTAACAACTCACATGTCTCTTCACCTTGGGAGCCGTGAGAACTATTTTTCAAGTTGTATATAACTCGTGCACAGAAAATAGTTAAAAATAAAATAAATTAGAAAGGATTGTTTTGTTTTTGAAGTTTTTATTCTATTTTTGTAATAAAACACTGTGGCCCCAAGGAAAAGAATTTTTTTCTGATGCGGCAGTCAATGTGTTAAGAAGTGGGGGAATTCCTTCTCCAGTTCCTAACTCCCACCGTGGAGGTTTTCAGATACCTGGGAAAATGAACTACAATCCATTAAAGCTTCTTTACAAATGACTGGGGAAACTGGGCGTTCTCACAGAGCCCTCTCAGCTGGAGAGGAGAAGCTCTCCTTTCTCCAAATCCAGGGCCCCACCCCAGCAGGCTAGGGCTATAAGCAGAACCCTTGGAGCACACAGACTTGGGCTCTTGCCTCCTCACTAATTAGCTGTGTTACTCTGAGTAAGTCGTGTTCTCTGGGCCTCAGTTTACTTTTTCTCTCTATAATAGGACTAATAACTCAAGCTGTTGGGAAGATTTAATGAGACAATATGTGCAAAGGGCCTAGCACATACTAAGAGCTCAAGGTTGGTGCCATCCCTTACTCCTTGCTCTGAACTGAAAATGAAGCCTTGGGAAGGAAGGAAGGTGCTGCAAAACGAAGTCAGGTCCCAAGAGATGTCAAAGCTCCTCTGCAGCTCAGCACTCTGCAATGGCTGGCACCACCCTACCCACCAAAACTTCGCCCCAAGCCTTGTTGTTCCACTATTGTCCGCCAGGGGGAGAAGAGGCGCACGTTCCCACAAAGGCCGCCTTCTCATGCGCGTTCACAGAGCCTTGAGAGAGCGTGGCCGTGCGGGGCCCCGCGGCCGTGCCTGCGCATGAGTCTCCCGGGGGCGGGGCGGGAGGGCGCACGCGCAGAAGGCTGGGCTTCCGTTCCGCGGGGCTGGAGTTGGGTCGGGAGGCCTGGACCCGTGGCGGGGACGGGAGCAAGGTGGCGCGGGGGAAGGCAGGGGCCCTGCGGGGATTTCTTCTTCCTCCAGGACTAGCTGTCATCTTCGTTTTCCAGAAGGGGCCACCTGACTCCTTTCAGAGTTAGCATGTCCTCCTCTTCGTGGATGCTCTTGAGTTTCAAAGAAAGGGTAGAGAAGCATTCATTAAGCCACTTCTGTCATAGCGTCTTTGCAAGGGAAGTGGGTCGACCTTAGGGGGTTTTAGATTGGGTTTTGCTTTGTTTGAAATTTTACAAATACCGAAAAGTAGAAGGAAGAAAGTTGAAGTAATCCATGTTTCCATCACCCCAAAGTATCTACTGCTGTCTTCTGAAAATGGATCCTAATATGTTTGTTCAGCAAGAATTTATTGAACACCTACCTGCACTAAGCACTTAGCACTGTTGGGTTGTGAGGGGACTACAGAGAGAAAAGAAAGATGATCAGGAAACAGGAGTTTTAGAAATCTGTGCAAATCTGTGCATGTTAGAGTAAGGGACAATCCCATAGCAAATGACAGAGAATCACTTTACTAAGAAAGATTTTATACAACTCACAACAAAATAATAATAATAAAAAAGAAAAAAAAGATTTCGGACAAGAAAACCTACAGAAGAGAGAAGTTGTGGATATAAGAAAAGCATTACAATCTGTATTTGACTCTAATTGCACATTAGAGAATATATCTGAAAAATTAACCCAATTCTCTTATTTCATTAAATTTTTCTTATAAGGTTTTCATCAGATTTTTTTAAAAATAAAATGCTTTATTGTACAAATCCCATGACAATCTCAGGCCCAGGGTCCAAGTCCACGGCCCCAATTTATCCCTGGCTTCAAGGCTGCTCTTTGGTCTTCACCCCAGCCTGAAGTGTCCATGAGCATGCCTGTGTGTCGGGAGGCCTGCTTGGGCTGCAGGGACTAGGGCACTGTGGCAGCCTCAAGGTGAAGACAGGTGGGGTGGAGTGAGGGCCCCATCTGCCCAGGCTCAGGGTTTACAGGGGTCCACACAATCCTTTCCACTGCGGAACACGTGGTAGATGCTGGTGGGAAGGAACATAGCGCCAGCGCCGAGCATGGAGCCCAGCTGGATGGCCACGCCAGCTGCCAGCAATGCAGACCGGCCTCTGCTATGCAGCAGGGAGCTGGTCGCCACCTTCACGTAGGAGAACATGCCCAGACACAGCACCCACGACAGCACCTGAGAAGGGGGACATAGCAGAAGGCTGAGCATCATGTGCCCCTGCTCCAGGGCAAACCCTCCTCCCCACTTCATGTCCCCACTGTGCTCACCACAAGGACCACCCCTGCAGAAGTGCCCACCAGGGGTGGGCAGGGGCTCAGGATTGCCAGCACCATCAGGTACGCCCCAAAGAGTCCGGCCAGCAGAGCGAGACCACCCAGCCCTGCCACGGACCTGTGGGGGGTGAGCAGAGACTCAGGGCTAGCTGCACCAGGACCCGGGCCCCATCCCTAGGTTCCACCCACTCCGGGCTTGGGGCCCCTTGTGCACCTGCACAGCACGCCCATGGCCAGGAAGCAGGCAAGGGGGTTGGCGGCACTGCCCAGCACCACAGCCAGGTGGTAGGCCAGGCGCCCGTAGGGCAAGCAGGAAAAGCTCTGCACTGCAGGCAGCACACCGTTGGTCAGCGCACTGGTGACGGCCAGCAGGCCCAGCAGGCAGGCACCCTGGACCGAGAGCCACCAGTGGGTCTCAGGGGCCGGGCCATGGTTGGTGCCCACTGACTGGCTCGGTGGCTCCTGCAATGGCAAGGCCTCTTCCTCCTCCTCCTCCTCCTCTGTTCCTGGGGTTGCCACTTGCAGTTCAGGCCCTGGGCCCCCTGTAGGTACAGATGGTAGTGATGGCAACAGCAACAGAAGACCATGGAAGGCAGCAGCTGAAGTTACCAGAAGGGCGGTCAGTGCCCAGAAGAAGGTGCTGGCAGGAAAACGCTCAGGGATGCGAAGCGGGGGCCCAGAGGTGCCGTTGGTGGGGGCTGGCGGGCACTCGAGGCGGCCCACACCCTGCACTAGGGCCAGCACACAGGGCAGCAGGGCGCTGAGCCCCTGACCCAGGAAGAAAGACCTTAAGAAGGGAGGTGGCAGGTGGCTCAGGAAGGGCAGGAAAGTGACATTAGAGGTGCAGCAGGCCAGTGCCAGCACCAAGGCCAGTGTTAGGAAGGCCACAGAGTGGAGCTGCCCGGCCACTGGTGCCACGTGACGCCACAGAGGGGCCAGCAGGGCTGTGCCCACCACGCTCAGCGCCTGTACCACCTGGATGGGGACCTGCTCGCCCTTGCCCGGCGCCAGCCGCCTCCACAGGGCCACCACCAGCAGACCCAGGTTCCCCAGCGCCACACACACAGAGAGGTATGCGGGGAGGCTCCAACCTGCAGGGAAGGAACGATGCCATGTCACAGGCACGATGGCTAAGGAACGAAGAGCATCCGCAGCCCGCCTTCCTGGGCGCACCTGCCCCAGCTTCCCTGCACCTCCCTCCCACTCACCCTCTGGAAGGTCTTTTACCACCACAGGCAGCTCCACCCAGATCCCATTGATGGCAGCCCACGAGCCCATGCCGAAGAGAGCCACCAGCAGGTGGGTCAGTGCCAGACGGCCCTGCGTGGGTGCTGCCATTCAGCCCAAGGCGGGGCCCTCCAGGACAACGCGAAGGTCACAGCCAGCTCTTTCCCCACCTAGGTGCAGAGACGCTTTTGCTCTTCTGGGAACCGAAGACCTCTGGCAGGGAGCTTGGAACAGGCATGCGAGGCACGGAGCCGGACTCGGAAGACAAGATGGCCAGACTGCCAAGACCCGGGGACCTGGCGGGAGCACCGCGCAGGGGCGGGGATGGGGAGGAGGAGGGGCTAAGCCTACCCTGAGGCACCGGCCGGCGGGTGCAGGGAGCGCGGCGCGGCGGTGCGGGCGAGCGGAGAAGCAGGAAGCCGGCCCTGGGCGCCGCGGCCGCGGGAGGGCACGACGACGGAGGCAGCCGGGCTTCCTACCACGGAGGACCAGGCGTCCGAGCTGTCGAAGCAACTCGGCACCGCCCCCGCGCGCGGACCCCGGGACCAGGGCATCGCTCAGGCGCCACGCGCACGCCCGGGTTTCCTGGATGCAGCAGCCACGTCGGGCTTGGGGAGGCCGTGGCCCGGGCGCGCTCTGCCCGGAATGGCGCCGGTCCGGGCTCCCCGCGCCTCTGGGTCCAGCACCCGCTGGTGTTTGCTGCTGCCACGCGAGGGCGCCGCCTCCTGCCCGGGACGCAGCCCCAGCCCGAGCCCGCAGAGCCAGGGGTGTGGCTGGGATTCGGGACGCTGCGGGCAGGCCTGTCCGTAGATTTTAATTTTATTTATTTATTTATTTTTTTGAGACAGAGTCTCGCTTTGTTGCCCAGGCTAGAGTGAGTGCCGTGGCATCAGCCTAGCTCACAGCAACCTAAAGAGAGATTGGCTTCAAGATCTCTGCTCGCTCCACAGTGCTAGGATTCACCAGGTCGTGCACCGCGCCCGGCCTGTTAATATTTTAAAATACTTAAAACAGTGCCTGGCACATAATGAAGGCACCAAAAGTGTCTGAATAAACAGATCGTGTGCTTGTAATTCTAATCTTCTCAGAGTATTTACGAAATACCATTGTTCGTATGTTAACTGTGGGAACCTCCATTTGCCACATTTCCGTCTCGTTTAAGCCTGTACCCTGCAGTAGTTGATGCCAAGTGGTAAGGCCAAAACCTTATCACACCATCAAATCAGCACTAAGGAGTTTGTGGGCCTTTTTTTGTGTGTTGTTTTTTTTTTTTAGGAGATGAAAAGTTTCAGCTTAGAATATTGTAAACATTTAGCAAAGAATAGATAGATGCTATTTTCCATGATTCTACACGAAATTTACATGAATTTATAGCTGCTTGGTACATGGTTCACATGATATAATAAACAAATCTAATGGAAGGAGTTTTGGTGTTTTTTAAAAAAACACAGATTTTAGGGTTTTATTGGTCCACTCATTCAACAACAACTTGAGCAGCCTATGATCTCTTGAGAATAGGATGGGTAGTAAAATAGCAAAGTACTCCTGTCGTGACTTACCCTCCTAGTGAGGGAGATAGAACAGAAAATTTTTTTCTTGACCAATAGTAGATACTTTAGGCTATGAGGCCAGCAGTCTCCATGGAAACCACTCCTCCTGCCCTTTAGCGGGAAAGCAGCCCAGACAATATGTCAATGACGGGGTGTCTGTGTTCCATCTAGAATGAATCGATGGACGCTGAAATTTGTCATTTCATATAATCTTCACATGTTGGGAAATATGATTCTTCTTTGGATTATTTTTTCCAGCCTTTACAATGTAAAAACTCTCTTAGCTCGCAGGCCATACAAGAACAAGGTCTGCCTGACGATCCCTGACATGGACAGTAAGTGAACAACGCAACGTCATTTAAGGCCTGAGCCAAATGAACGCAGCTGTTGCGCATGCCACCGAAAGAGGACAGCCTAGAACTCGGGGCTGGGGTCCTGGTCCCAGTCGTACCTTACTGGAGTCCACGCAAGTCACTTAGGCTTATGGCCTCATTTCCTCTGAGGATTAAAACTCTTTTTTTTTTTTTTTTTTTTGAGACAGAGTCTCGCTTTTTGCCCAGGCTAGAGTGAGTGCCGCGCGTCAGCCTGGCTCACAGCAACCTCAATCTCCTGGGCTCAGCGATCCTACTGCCTCAGCCTCCCTAGTACTGGGACTACAGGCATGCGCCACCATGCCGGCTAGTTTTTTTTTATATGATATATTTATTTAGTTATCAATTAATTTCTTTCTATATTTTGGTGGAGACGGGGTCTGCTCAGGCTGGTTTGAACTCCTGACCTTGAGCAATCCGACCGCCTCGGCCTCCCAGAGTGCTAGGATTACAGGCGTGAGCCACCGCGCCCGGCCTGAAACTCTTTAACAGCGTTGACGATTCTGTGTACAATTAGCATGCATTATTTTGTGATTTAAAAATCTACTTTCACATGCTGCTGTAGGAAAAAAAAAATAAATAAATAAATAAATAAAAATCTACCGACAGGCCGGGGCACGGTGGCTCACGCCTGTAATCCTAGCACTCTGGGAGGCCGAGGCGGGCGGATTGCTCGAGGTCAGGAGTTCGAAACCAGCCTGAGCAAGAGCCAGACCCCCGTATCTACTATAAATAGAAAGAAATTAATTGGGCCAACTAAAAATATATATAAAAAATTAGCTGGGCATGGTGGTGCATGCCTGTAGTCCCAGCTACTCGGGAGGCTGAGGCAGCAGGATTGCTTGAGCCCAGGAGTTTGAGGTTGCTGTGAGCTAGGCTGATGCCACGGCACTCACTCTAGCCTGGGCAACAAAGCGAGACT